TATGCAGTCCTTCGGGACAAATTCTACGTGGTCCTTTGGGACGTATATGTATTCTTTGGAATATGTATGAGGTCTTTTGAGACACCTACTTGATCCTTGGTATATGTATATGATTCTTAAGGAATTTATTTGTGGTCCTTATGGACAATCTTATATGGCACTACGGTGCATTTCTACGCGGTCCTTCGGGACAAATTCTATGTGGCACTTATGTGCAAATTTATACGAGCTGTGGTGACAGCATAGTGCACAACCTCACAGTACTCACATACCTTCAGTTCTCACAAGGGTACCATGCCTAATAAAGAGACAATATCAAATACAATACATATATATATATATATATATATATATATATATATATAGATATATATGTTTGTTACTATGATATGAAATGCATTATATGAATTATACGATGTTAAGTTTGTTTGTTATGAAATGATATATGTTCCATGATGTATATGGAAATGTTCAACATATGCTTATATGATAAAAAGGGAATTAGTGATAATAATATGATTACTGATAAATATAATCATGATAAATTTATATGTGTGCATTGGTTATACAATGGGAGATATGATTTTATATGATATGATAGTATTTGAATATGTATGCGTGTGATTGTTTCACACGTAGGTTTGGAAAGCAAAAAGAGAAGTAAAGAGGAACAAGACATGTCAGTTCTCCTTACCGAAGATCATATCAGAAATGTAGATCGAATTATATGTATTTTGTTAGAAAGAATTTAGTTGGCATGTAATAAAAAGGATTTGTATTAGATACGCTTTAATCGAGTTTTGGAAAGGTTTTAAACGTATATATGTAAATGGTAAATGTATAATGATGAAACCTTGGATTTTTACAAATTTATACGTATTTTACAGAAGTACTATAGCAGTACTGTAGCAGGGGAATCGGTTCCCTATTTGTATATGGAAATTTTAACATTCGGGTACTGTAGCAGGGTATGTTCATCATTATTCATACGGTATTGTTCATACCGTATTTTACTGTTCATAAATACGTTTTACCTCAAAATTTTATACCAAACACAATTGAACAATATATGATCGTATTTTCTTAAAGTGAGTTCAAATAATTTTGATATTTTGTAAGAATTTCATTTTTAAAAGTCAATGTGACATCTCGGACTCGTATTCGAGTCGGGTTGAGGTGTTACAGTCATACCCGTCGGTTGCACTACCTATATGGCCATTGAAGTCTCCCCCTATGAAAACTCTTTGGTCTTCCGAAATGCTCTTAAGTACATCATCTAACTGATCCCAGAAGCATCGTTTCTCCCCCTCCCCTAGGCCAACGTGTGGGGCGTACACTGAAAGGACATTCATCACTTCCGCTTCTATAATAACCTTAATCATCATGATCCTATCCCGATATCTACAAACTTCAACTACATTTTCCTTGAGCCTAGAGGATACCAAGATACCCACCCCATTTCTAGCGTTATCTACGCCTGAATACCACAACTTATACCCATTACACTCTCTGACACGAGCTCCTTTCCACTTAGTCTCTTGAATACATGCAAAATCTATTTTCCTATTACTAAGTACGTCGGTCAGCTCCAGCAGCCTAGCATTTAATGTACCTACATTCAACAAACAAACTCTAAGTCTAGTCTCCTTGACACCACTTTGTCGAGCCCTCCCCCTATACGCCCTATGTGATCTAAAAGGACATGACCTCAAGTAATCATCTATAGCCGAAGCTATGAGGAACTATGAGAAAGGAATTCAAAGAAGATTGGAGATGCACCTATAAAACGCTAGAGAATTGAGGAGTACTAAGAAGCCTAGTTTGTTACTTAATAGAATTTTAAGACAAATTAACACTATCTTACTTAATAGAATTTTACTACCACCACTCGAAATTACCAGTCACAAAATTATTAAAGTAATAATTATAATTTAATAGATTAATATTTTATTATTTAAAAACACAGACAAAAGGGAAAAAAATCAAGAAAGAGTTTGTTTAAAAACACTCTATCAGCTCACAAAACTAATCAATAAAAATACCGAATCTATTAAGGACATCAATGGCGAAGAGAATATAAATAAATTTAAGAGTAATTTAATAATTGTTTTCTTTTAATGTAACAAGGATCAGCTCAAAGCAGTGCTCTCTTTTTTTTTTATTGTAGTGAAAGCATTAAAAATGGAATAAAGAGAAGTAACAGCGAACATCTAAAATTGAAAAAACAAACAATGCTTATTTCCTTTCACTTTCTCGAGAAACCATTAATATATATTACATAATAAATACTTTTATTATTAATATTTTTTCTTTATATAAATTAAACTATATAATTTATATAAATTAAACTATATTAATTTTCTTTTGCATTATTAATGTTTTATCTAATTTACATTTAAATAATTTTATTAATTTTATTAAATAATTTTATATAATAGGTCTATTTATTAATATAATTATCATAATAAATATTTTATTATAACATTCAAAAAGTAATCATATTAATATTTTAATTACCTCATAAGTTAAAAAACAGATAATTTATAAGATTTCCATGGTAATATATAAGTCATATAAATATCAAATCAGATCATTAACAAGTCGGATCATTTACAGGTCAGGTTAAAAACAGGTCGGGTAATACCAGTTATTTACCAGGTCAATCTCGAGTTCGAGTTCATATCAGTCGGATGCAGTTCGGGTTCGGATATCATATTTTCGGTTTAATTCGGGTTCAGATCGTTCTCAGGTAGGATGCAGGTCGGGTTCGGATCCACAATTTCCAGATCCAAATCGGGTTCAAGTCAACACTAGTTTTGACTCGAGTCGGTTTCGGATCGCCACAATGCATATCAAAAATAATTTTAATTCGAGTCAGTTTCAATCAATTTTGTAGGTCGGGTCAACTTTTTACAGCCCTAGAATTCACACAGCCACCAAACGCGATACGATGGTGCAAGTGGAGGGGATTAAATTAATATTTCTATAAATAAATTTGAGATTGTACGTGCATCAAATAATAATCTTTTATTTAATTCTGTTGTATATATTTTATATTATTAGACTTATCGTATTGAAATGCCAACTTGGTCCTCTAACAATTGTATTAGGTTGCTAATTTATTTTCTTCTAAACTACATTTTTCTTAATTTTTGTCCATGCTTTATTCCTTAAAAAGGACCCTATTATTTCATAGCATCAACTCGAATAATCAAATATTCATATCATTGGGATTTAGCAGGGCATGTGAAGGGGATATGCCGCGCGTGAAACTTTCCCCTAAAATGTGTATTTGATAGGTTGAGCAGAGTCAAATTAAAAAGGGAAAAGAATACCTAAGGTATTTATACTTTTCAAAAAAAATCAATGTGGTCTTCCACCTATTTTTACATCTAATATGGTCTTTCAAGTCAAACAAAAATTTGATGTGATCATTTGACTAATGTTTTTTATTCGTTGGCCAACGACTCCATTACTTTGTATAACGTGGCACGTTAAGCAAGTCAAAATCCATTTTCTCTCTCAATTTTACCCTCCAACTCAAGGAAACAACTCAATCTGACCCTCCTATTTTTCTCTTTTGTTTTGGTCACTAAACTTTAAAAGTTTTTGATTTAATAACTCAAATTTTGAATTACTCATATTTTAATCATCATGATTTATTTTATTAATATGTATGTATGATGTGGCATTTATGTATTAAAAAGTGAAGTAGCACATTGATTTTTTTGAAAAGTACGAAGGTCTTAGGTACCCTTTTGCCAATTAAAAAATTATATTAATTAAATTGATAAATTATATTTTATAATTTTAATTTTATTTAATTTAATTTTTTGAGTCGACTCATATTTATAAATTTTGAGTCGAGTCGAGTCGTATTGTTTTAGTTTCTATATAAATTTAATTGTCATTGTTTATAATATTATGGTATGAATTAATTTTTTTATTAATTTTCTCTATTTATATAAAATATACATATATTTCTTAAAAAAATTAATATTATATTGATAAATTAAATACAATCTAAAATTATAAAATATGTTAATAATATATTTTTAAAAAATATATCTTGAGGATAAAATATTGACATGAGCATAAAAGAGTCAAATAATTGATAGAATAAAATTAAAATAAATTATAATCAAAATACTAAATAAAATAAAATAAAAAATAAGAGATAAAATTGAAAAAGAATGTAGTTAAAAATAGGAATGGAAGTACCGTAAATATTCTATAATAATAGAGGAATATGTGATTCAAATTTGATAAAAAATATACTTAAAATAAATGATGAATTGATGAAATAAAAAATATAAAGTTAGAAAAATTAAATTGACAAAACAAATTATTGTAAAAAAAAATTCAAATTATATAAGTATTTAACAATAATTTAAAAATATGTGATCAAATTTAATAAAGTTATACATAAAATGAGGAATCGAATAGGAAAATTATGAGTGATATCACAAAACCTTCAGTTAAGTTTTTGTGTGTTTGGTTTTCTTAAATTTTTTACATTCCAACTCAATTTTAAAGTGAAAAATCAACTTTATAATTCAAGCTAACTCAAATAATTAAAAATATTAAAAATTAACATTTTTGTGATGATTTAGTCAAATTATATATTTCCATATTACACAAATCTCGATGCTAATTCAATGAACCTAAAATGCTTAATTAATTAATACAATCATAACTCACCTTACTTCATGGACCAAAACAGATAAACCTCTAACCCAAGCTCAATTATGGTGGAAAAAGTGACTCATTTTGTTATTAACTTCCGATTAACATCAATGAAACAAAAATGATCAGAAAACAAACTTCGGTAAGAAAAGAAGAGAATTTACTCCGCGTGTTTTGTAGCTTTCTTTGCTTATCTTCTTTGTTTTCCCCAGATCTGCTATCTGCCACATTATTTTCACCGTTTTCCTTTCTTCATTGTCTAAAGACATGAAGGAAGAAACCCAGCAAGGAAACAAGAGTTGAGATCCAAAAAGCTAGCAATTTTTCAGACCCGAAGGCGGCGGCGGAGTGTGGTAATAAAATGGGAAGTAAGGCACAATGGGGTTCGGAGGTGGCGGCGTTGGGTAGTTTTTGTACGTCGGTGGAGGGTAATACATGCCACCGATGACGCCACTTGGCGGCGGAGGAGCGTAGTAGTTGCTACCACCTCCTGATTGAGATGGTGGTGGTGGAGAGTAGTAGTAGTTACCACCACCACCGCTAGAGCTGGGTGGAGAGGGCGGTGGTGGACAGTAGTTGGAGCTAGAAGCATGTGGAGGTAGAGACGGTGGAGGCGGCGATGGGTATTGTTGCTGACATGGGGTGCATTTGATGTCAGTGGAACCGGTTTCTTCTGAACTAACTAGTACTGAACTCAAAAACATCACCAGCAATGTCGAAACAACGGTAATTGTACGAATTTTTTCATTTTTCTGGAAATTTGATTCCCTGTTTGGATAAAATGAGTTTTCTTGAGAAAGGCGGGGAGGAGTTGAGTTGAGTGAGTGAGTTGAAAGGAGATGAGTGAGTTGCCTTATGATTGAAGTTAACGGAAACCTATTTTTATACGATGGATTAAATGGATGTTGTTTTAAAAAGAAAAAAGAACGAAAAAAGTGTGGGTTCAAATCGATTTTTACTTTAACCTTTAAACAGAGCGCCGAATTTTACTGTGGAGTTTTATGTCCATGTCGTCAAAATATGGGGGTAATTCTGGGATTGGAAACATCGTTCATGGACGTGTTGGGAGCTAATTGGATGGGTTAAAATTTTTGTTTCAAAATTCTTGTCTCTTTTGCGATATGTAAAAGTTTGTTTACTAAAGTTCATTTTATTTTATTTATAATATTAAATCTTTTATTGAACTCAATTTTATCTCTAATATGTATATTTATTTTGGTATCAATTATCATTTTCAGCTTATTTAATTGGGCAAAAGTGTTTGAATAATATAATGAAAAAAAATTCTTCACATAATGCAGTCGCACAATTATTTGCTTAAGTATGGTGATTGCTATAGTGACCACCATAGGTCTCCAAGAGCACATGGCGACCTCCATAGGTTTCTAGAAGTACACGGCGACCTATAGAGCACTTGGCGACCTATAGAGTTGCAACAGCGAGGGAAGAGAGAAGAGTTGCTGCAACAGAGGAGGCTTTGTTGCAAGGAGCACTTGGTGACCAATGAAATTACTGTAGTAAACACCCCAGTTCAAGAAATAATTTGGGTAGAGCCTTATATGAGATTTTTTTTCCAACGCCCTACATGAGCGAGGAAGCCTATTTAATTGATTAATTTTTATGTTTTAATTGAATTATTTGTTTATAAAATATATAAATATTTAGATAAATTTTATACGTTAAACTCTATTTATATCACGTCTTAGAGAGGTATGGCTATTAATCTCATATTAAAAATAGAAAGATCTCATAAAATTTTAAAGCAATAATATTGTATATTTTATAAGACATATTTTTTTCAGAAGAGAATAGTATTTTGGTGATAAGTGAGATCAGAAAGATTACTTAACTCACTAATTTCACGTTGAGCACCCTTCTAGGTGAGGTGTGCAGGATAAACAAATTGTGACAATTGTATCAAAAAATTAAATAGAGGATAATGTGGAAAAATTGACAAGCATTAATCCTATGCTCAAAGAAAAGAAAAAAAAAGATGTACTGAAATTCAAAGTGTTATACATTTTATCATTATGTCTTTCAGAAAAAAAATGTAATGACCATGAGACACTTACACAATATAAGAATTAAAAAAGTTTCAATTAATTTAGAATTATTTTATTTGTAAATTAATAATTAAGATTATCTAAGGTCCACTAATTAGTATAGTGGTTAATGACGATTATCTTGTCTCATTTTATGTTAGTTTAAAGTTTAATATTTACTTTAAATTATATATATCTCTACTTAATTCAAAAATAATTAAAATTATATATCTTTCACTAAAATTTATTTTGAATTTGAAACATTAACTTATATTTACTCATTGATATAAAATTAAATATAAAATAGAAAAAAAATATTTCTACCGTGTAATTGTGTTGTACCGGGATGAATTTATAGTCATAAGTGGAGGGCTTGACTGAGATGAGGGATTGGGTGAATCAGAGCATACGTGTAAAAGACGTAAGCTAAACGTGCTGCTTTTCCCTTATTTTTTCTCTAATTAACTATATCTTAACCACTGCACACTAGACTGATAACTGATGCCTAATGTTTATATTTTCTCTCTTTTTATGATTTTTTTTGAAATATTTAATTTCAAAATAATTAAGTTTGAAAAGCAGTAGTAATAACATGTATAATCAGATCAAATAATAATAATAAATTACGTAATCCAAGGCTGGCTCTAAAGGTTTTTAATACTAATTTTTAAATAAATATAAACATTTTAAAAGAGTAAAAATCTGTATGAATATATATAAAAAACCATAATGATTGCATATTCCACTGTGTTGTTTATAACTGTAATGTCAAATATCATATAAATTTATTTGTATAAAAATATTATATAATGTAATGAATTACTCAATCTGTGTACACTTTCGGCCGAACCTATCCAGGCTGGAAAAAGACGTATGCCAGATTGGATTCACAATAATTCAATTTTCTACTCCTTTTTCTTACGTGTTTTATTTTTTCAATTAATTTGATTGGGAATGTGCAAATTGTCTTAAAAGATTCCCGGCCCCTTGGGTTTTGTCTTCCTACTCCATTGATCAAATAACTTTAGTCTTTGCAAATACTGATTATTTATTATGTAACTATTCATGCTTTCAAACTGTTCTCTTTGTTATCATTAATTTAGGCTTTACAATGGGTATACGAAATTGTTCTACTTAGTTTTACCAGAGGTGGCAATCCAATGGATACACAATTTAGTTTTTTTTTTAATTAGATATTTAATTTGTTTTTGATATTTGCATAATTTGAATTTATATGCAATATCATTTATATTAGATTTTTATAATAGGGGGGAAGAAATTATCTTGAGATTCAATATAAACAAAAATTAAAGTAATATAAATTTAGCTAATATATTTTATACAAATTAATTTTAATTCAATTTTTCATTAGAAACACTCTGTAGAATTCACATTCCAGAGGGGTAAAGGTAAAACTATAAGGGTGCGTTTGGTCTATGGAATGTAACATTACCTCCGGGAATAGGAATACCGGAATGTAAATTACCTAACACATTATGGAATGTTACATTACTGTGTTTGGTTGTTTGGAAGGAATGTAAGATTACAATGTTTGGTTGAAGGAATAAAAGATTACTGGAATGTTATTTTAGCAATTGTACTTGTTCTATATTTTTAACAAGTGGATTTCTAAATATTTAAATGAAAATATTTATACAAAAATTCATCGATAATATTACTTTATTTTTTAATATATACATTTTTAATAAAATTTATATAATTTTTTATAAAATTTAAAAGATAATGGGTAGAATAAAGAGTAAATATAAAATATATCATGATTATTTTATTTTAATTAATATTAATTTTTACATAATTTATCTAAAAATATTAAAATTTACATAACTTCATGGAGATCTTTCTCAAGCAGCTTTTCCAAGTCGGTGCAAGAACACATGGTTGTGTAAGTTCTTCATGCAAATGAAGAGGGAGACCTCCAAAACCGAATTTTCGATGAAACAACACTAGTCTTTTCTTTCATGAATACAGTCCGTTGTACACCATATTGATTAACTATGTAATTGAGGTACATACCTAAAACTTCAAGTACCCGAAAAACTATTGTTTTCTGTTTCACCCTTGATTTTTAAGTAAAATTGTAAAAATTTTCAGACATCATGTACACTCACCTTCGGACAATGCACATGGTCATTATGTGGTTGGAAACTATCAGAACAACCTTTTATTCACACCATATATGTTTGCACGTTGTTCTTGTCTTGCAGGACCACTTTATGTGGCCATAGTTATATATTTCATCCTGAAAATTACAGATTTTGGTATTGTCAACATCATACACAGGCTAATTCTCAATCCGGGTGCAGCTGAAATAGTTTCCAAACCATTCCTCGGTACCACGAAACTTCTCGTCGTGGCAGTGGTGGTGTAGGTAAGTTCGAGAGATATAATACAGAAAAACAAAGACTTTGAAGAAATATGTGCTTGAAGGGACTGAAACATACCAGTTAGGAATTCCGTAGAGCTTAAGCAACTGAGTTGGCCCCATTGCAAAAGATAAATACACAAGCAAACCAACCATTGCTGCCCAACAGGCAGTGGAGGTGATTATATCTGTTTTTTCATTTGGACCGAACAAATCGCTCCTCGGATCGAAATGTGAACCACTTTTCCCAGGACTTTGACTCCACTGTAAATGAATCGATATCAACACAATCACAGGCTCGTAAACAAGATTCACAGACGAAATCATCGACGGCATACCAATAGATGGGATAAGCAAGCATGGGAAAAGGCAAGGTGAACCTCAGTAATCTAGTTGCATTATCCAAACTCTTGTAAATTTTCTCAGACAACTGCAAAACGAAGAGTAAATCATAATCATCGAAATGAAATCGCACTTAAACAACTCCCTCGCAGAAGATCAAAGATGTTACTGGATGCCACGAGTCGTCGTTTTCGACATGTATGTGATTATGATGATGTGTTATATGGCTGATTCTCCTGCAGATGGATATATATATATATATAGTCAAAATTGTCATCAGATTCATTCATATGGGATCATATAAGAGTATTCAAAGCACTAATGACTAACCATCCATGGTATGGGACAATGATAGAAGAAATGAAGAGGATGACCAACAACACTGTTCAATGCCGGTTGTTGGAGAAACTACCATGTCCACTGAAAAGAGAAAAAACAACAAAACCAACACATAAATCAATGTCCAAATTGAAGAAAAACATAAAAAATAGGGACAACACCCATGGTGGGACAAAACAAGTGGTGTTCACCAGTCATGACCAAGAACAAAAAGAGCCCAGAACATGGTTCCCTGAGCAACCAATAAAGAGGCCAAACAAGCCAGTTGTTAAAATAAGCAGCAACAACAGACAAACCAAAGACACAACATCTCTCAAAACATAACTCATGGATCTCCATGGATCATTAACCCAACAATGCTTCAGTATAGCCGCCCTGATGTCGGCCAGGTTGAAAGGAGGCGGCGCAGCAGGATCAAATCCCCCATCATCATCATCTTCTTCTTCTTCAACCCCATTAATGGTCTCAAAAACCTCCAAAGGAGCACTCACATTCAAATAACCCACAAAACTCCTAATTCTACACCAAATAGAGACCTTGAATGGAGAAGAACCAGGTAAAGTTATGACCTTTAGGCCATTGTTGTTGTTGTTTCAGA